TCTGCCAATGTGAGGACCTAGTTTAACAAATTCATAACTACTTTTCTATAGGAACTAACTAATTCTGCTTAGGCTAATTTATAAAAAAGCATTGGACGCATTGTGTACAAAATATCAATTTCGTACACGATTCGACATTTCGATTCGGATCAAAAATGAAGTTTCCAGAACTTTTTCAGGTTTTGATTTAAAAGCCGCTGGTGTTCCAACTGAACAGACTTGCACTGAAAATTCACAACTCTCATAATCTATCTTCATCTAATATTGTATTGCTAGTATTACGTAATTATAGAACAGGAAACAGCTTCAATACCTGAATATTTTAATATTTTCAACGATCTGGCAGTTTTAGGTTCAGATGTAATATCTGTGTCCATTGTGCAGGTCTGACCTGCTGGCAGAAAAAAACTGTTCTGTTTAATATTATGTTTAATAGTTATAGTGAGTGATTTTCGTGAGTTTCGGGAGCTAATAATTCCAGTACTTTTATTTTACTAGATATATTTTCTAAGAACAATATTTCGAGTAGAAAACTGTAGCTAATTGAATTCTCTTAAACTACCCTACAATTTAATTCTGAAACGTGGAATATATAAATATATAAACTCACAATTTATCGGTATATTGTGGCTTTGAGAACAAAAAAACTTGTAAGTCCATTACAAAATATATTTATAGTCATATAAACGTCATAAAGTCATATAACACGAAAGTTACTTCACATCCAAGCATCTCTAATCTAGTTATTTCATTCACTTTAAACCGGCAACTTCTTTTGATGATTGGTTAGTTTAATTATTAACGGATCATCTTTTAGTACTTGGAAATAATTCAATAACAAATTTTCTAATGAGAACCCAACATGAAGGAACTGCAATGAATGTAATGCCGTATTATGAAGAAACCACAAAAATTACAGAAACTGAAATTTTTAACAAACTCACCTTATCAACCCACCAAAATCAATTAAACATTTTATAAAGTTAATTTTCATAAAATATAATTTCCTATACAATATTCTAGAAACTTTTTTTTATCTATTCGGCGTTCTTCGACAAAAGCCACTCTATTAATAAAAATATTTCCAATCAAATTAAATTCGGGATCAAGTTTGTCATTATCTTTTTTTGCGTTAAACGGTTTTTTCACTTTCTGCCAGGTTGATTGATGAATGCTTTTAAAAGCTTTCAAATCTTGACGTCTGCTCCGTTCACGGCTATTACTTACTTCCAGATTATAACAATTCTGTGGGTAATATAGGGATATAATGCTAAACGTGCTCCAGCAGTGTTTCATTCTTTTCATTATGCTTTCGCTTATAATGCTTAAAATATTTAACTTTCTTAATTTATTATATGGAAACTACAAAGCTATTCTAAACACCTGTGGGTTTTAAGATAAACAATTGCTGAATTGCTTGTAGGTCTTCTGGTTTAAGTCTTAGAAAAAGTCTGATTATTTTAGTAGTATTGTTTGCATTCAACCGATCGCATACTGATCAATTTATTGATTCCCATTAATGCGAATCGTGTAAAGTAGTAAACAAGCTAATAAAATATTTTTAAAAATTAAAGTTTGACGAAGGACTTTAATATGATTATATTATTATAGAACTTCTCAAGTTTCCATACTCGTGTAAAGTTGAATAAAATCTTCCCCAACATTATCACTGCGAAAATGTAAACATAGTAAGGGTATTTGTTCATATTGTAAAACATACACCTGCTTCGAAAACTCTCAGGAAACAATTCTGAACTTTACCCAAGAACAAGTTGTGCTTTGTACATAAAGAAAGCGTGTGGCTAATGAAGTTGGGCTCGAGGAATTTTCTAATTATTTTGAAATTCCTTTGATGCGATACCCCAGAATAAAATTTATACCTGAATAATTTCGGAATATTTAAAGAGCGGAAGTTTCACTTAAGCTTTAAGGGCCAGTAATGTAAGAAATAATTTTAAATCTTTGACAAAAATATTGGCTTCCTTAAATATTTAGATCAAACATAATTTTTTAATATCCATAAATTAAAAAATTAATTGTCGTAGTTCTAATTTTCTCAAGGATGCGTAAAATCTGTAATTTAACTAATTAGTTTAGTGGAGTTGGTTAAATGTTAGGCAAAACTTATAATCAAAATAAAAGTGTATCTAAAACCCTGTTATACATATATAAATTTTAATAAAACCGCATTTTAGTAACACAATTGTAGGTATTTGTAAATAGTTTTTTAACAGAACGTCTGTATCAATATTTCAATTGTCACTGTTGAAAATAAATGAATGAAGTTATGATATCCTATTTAGCCAACTTTACAAATTCATGATATTCTATTTCGCAGCTAAGCATAAGGACATATCTAATTATGCTTACGAGGTACATCATGTTCTTTAGTTTTACAGATAGCATGTAAACTCATCAGCATTAATTCAGTATATATTCTCACAAGCCTGTAATAACGAACAGTTGTATCTTGAAGCTGAAATCCATATCAATCGAAATAAAAATTGTTTTAAAAACTCCCTTTCCAAGGAAGTGATTTTAACTATGATCGAGCCACCAGAAAGCAATAGATCCAAAACATACCTCTGTTTCGTGTGCATTGATGTGTGGATGAGACGCTAGGCATTTTTCTTGAGGACGAGGCGGGTAACGTAGTAACGATGAATTGCTAACGTTATCATGTGATCATAGCGGAGTTCTTGTGTTTCTATTGCTCATGAGGACATCAGTAAAACGGTGCCGGACTGAGATTAATAGATTTTAATGTCTTTGGTTCTCGGATAAAGTTCACGCTCTTGTACGAGCTCCTGGTTGTGCAATTTTGCCTTGACGTTCTTACCATTTATCACCTATGGACTATTGGCTGTGCGGTTATTGAAAGCCGCAAGTTTATTCATGCCAATACGTCTGACACTACCGAAGCATTGCAAACCGCGATCCAACCTGTTATCAATGAAATACCACCACAAGTATCCAATAAGGTTATTGCTAATTTTACCAAAAGAGTGTCAACAGAGCCATCGCGGCTATTTACCAGATATTTTGTTTCATACATAAATTAGAAATGTATACATTATAAAACAATTGAATACTTTTCCATAGGAACATTAATTACACATTTAATCAAACCTGTGCTCTTATTGAAACACTCTATTTAACTCTAAAGTTAATTTGATGCGGTAAAATATGTAAAGTAATTTGGCGAACTATTACCAGGAATATGAAGCTGCCGAGAAGAAGGTCTGACCTATTTACCGAACAATAGGCTATGAAAGAACATTTTTTGTGCCGATACTGCTGTATGTAAGAGAATAATAATGAGGCGTAAGAACATGTTACGAAGGGTGTGGAGTAAAGTGAACAAACACATTCCTTATAGCTATAAAACAAGGGTTTTCACAGATTCAAAAATAATGTTTAATAAATATAATCTTGCTTCGTACTTTACTTACTTGTTTGACAGAGAACGTTTTTTTGCTAGATTTGTTTAAAAAATATTCAGACCTTCAATATAGTCAGATTGATGATCGTGGCACAAAAAGGTTTTTTGCATTTCGAAATCCGTACTTAGACGACTAATTTCAGTTTGCTTATTTTACATAACACATTGTTTTTCAGTTCAAAGGAATTTTTAAGTTAGGTTTGTTTTATTCTGAAAAGTAAATGGATTAACTCATATGTCTATTCTATGATAACCGAACAACAAAACTACAATCTGAAATAATTGCTTGTTTTCCACATAGTGCAATGCAATGAATTTTTATAAATTGGGAATATCAAATTTTCCGAAAGACTACTCTATTAATTTTGAATATGGTAGTTATAGCAGCTTTAAACAAAAACCAGTCACACTTTAAACATCTTTAAAATATAGTGATGATTGCTAAACCTGGCAGATCATTTGAAGATGTCGATCTTTATGGACCCTTATATTTACTTTTTTTTTTAATCTTAGAAATACTTCTTCTGAGGCACTTAACGCAGGTAATCGCACTAAAAGAAGTAATTTCGAATTTCCGATTCGGCTTTTGAAGTAATATTAAGCAGATACAAACTTAGTCAATCGATTCTCACACCTAATTAGACTATCTATAATAAAGTTTATCTTTCAGTTCTTTGATGTCTCAGAATCACATAAAAGGTATTCCAAATATCCCAAATATTATTTGGTAACAACAATATCACCAGTAGACTGAATTAGTTTAAACCTGAGGATCTGTCAAGCCGCTCTGGTTTATTCAGTATGTTGCACTTTCATCTAAAAGTGCTTCATAAATATTATTTATGGTATTTATATTGCTGTCTTTTTAAATTTTCGTTTATATTATAAAGATATATGTGATTGTTGTGTGGCATGACATAAATAGTTGTAAATTAACATTTAGAAAAATGGTTGTACAATGGAAAATAGCCAAAATGCTTTTATTTTTGTGCACTATTGTGTAGTTCCGTATTATAGGCATTTCGATCGCCTGACTAACATGTGTTAATTAAAAACGTTAAAATGGCACTTTTATAACTAATAGATAATTAAAAATAATATAAGCACAAATACTTTTACTTACTGCCGTTAAGAATATCAAATAATTCATTATCAAAGAGCAAAATATGTACATAATGGAGAAATGTGTGTCTGTCGAAGAAAAGTGCATCCTTTCATATAATATATCTAAAGTCGAAAATAGGATTGAGACTATATTCTGATATTGCAAATAAAAAACGATCAAGTAACATACAGCGTTATTACGGTAAAATATCGGCATTTCAATCTATTTGCTCCTTAACGTACAGTATATTTCATTTGCTTCTTTTTATTACCCATCCCAATCTGCTTGCAAAGAAAAAAACGCAAATTACAGTAATATGGCAAATTTAGTTTTACAATTGTATTAAATAGTCTTTAAATAAATAGAAATAAATTCCAAATACTTTAAGAACTGTAAATACAAATAGGGAATAACAATGTTTCAATTCGTAATTTCGTTTTATTGTTGTTTCAGGTTGTTTATAGGCAGCGGATGAACTAACCATAAGACTGAAGATTTGCCCATACTTTTTCGAGATCGTGGCATCAAAACAAACAATTGCTCAATCACCCATCTACACTTTGCAATCTATGTTTAACAACTAGAAATATTTGGACACGATTGTTTTGCATCATTGTACACCATATATAATGGAATTGTAAAGGGTATTTATAACCAAGTATTTATGAAGTAGTATGGAAATAAGAATCATTGAATTAAGTGTGTTTTAAAGTGTCGTTAGTATTAAAAGTTTTACAATTTTTTCTATAATATGTTAAAGTCCTTTCACCTTAATTGGCTTCTAGTGAATAAATGATCTGGATGTAAAAATAATGTTGAACTTACTACTTTACTATGTAGATCACTGTAAAACATTTCTTAATATTCAACAGTTGATGGAATGAAGTGATATTCCATTTTATTCCTTTGTGTGGAATTTTATTAATTCGCTTGCGTTTCAGCAGGAAATTTCTCTACTCCCATACAGTAAAAATTGAGATAATAAAAGCTTTGAATCTGTACCCAGAGTAAAGTTGAAATGAGTTGAAAAAGCTGACGATTTGAATTGTTCTCTCAATCAAATTACTATCAACATAATTGATATCAATCTCCATATCTGCAAAATTGCATGTTAATTGTGTAATGCAAAATATAAGTGTGTTGTTGAAGCATCGACACTTCTACAAACTGCTCGAAACATTAAATTGGATCTGAATGGAAAACGATATTTGATTTAGTGGACTAAAACAGTGGAGTACTGAATCTGAATGATATACGATTATATTCATGATCTCAATATAGACTGGACCCAAAAAGCGTTATTCTAAGTGAATACTGTCAATTTTATACGAAGAGAATACGACATGATTTTTTGACATGAATTAAAACTCAGCCTATAAACAAGAATATTTTTTTCGAAACACGTTTTACATTTGCGAAATCTCAATTATTATGGACACATTAGATTTCAGTGAGACTAGTTTTAAACCATCTTTTCGAAGAAACGTTCTTTCAACTTTTTAAGTTATTTTTTTGGACTTTAGTGGCATTACAAAAAGCAATTTTTTGCAATAGAATACGCATGATATTTCTTAATTCGCAAATCTCGATGCATTGATTTCGAGAAAAAATACATAGCATTACTGATTTTACCTTTTACTCAGCTGTAAAAATGTTTCTAATTTGCTGATTTAACTGGCATAGCAACTAAAAGAAAAACGAAGTTTGCCATTCCGCACACTTCATTTGAAACATCTTAAATTGTGTATAAATTAATTTAATTCGAAAACAAACCGGCAATTATTTTTTGCTTCTGAACTCGTATTGGTGGAAGTCAGAGCCGGTTTAAAAAGGCAATTTAATAAACAATACCATCGTTCATGGGTATGTGACTGACATAGGTTCGTTTCAAAATTAAAATCGATTCTATGGACCTGTGATAAATTATTCAAAACGAATTGGGGTATTCATAAAACCATAAATCATTTTAGGAAAATATGATAGCGATAAAAGCAGCTTTTGGTCTGTATCCCAGTAACATGAAGCTAATATTTCACACACACCTACACCTCAGTAATACATTTTGGGGTCCATTATTCACGGTAATGGCATCTGACAGTCCCGATGCGAAATTAATATGGTGTTCTTTTTGAGTTTAATTGATTAAATGTTGCACGAGGTTTTATGTGGCTCGACAAACACATTGAAAGGAAGGACGAACTTCAGCTATTAGAGGTAGTATCTGAGTTCCGTTTGTATCGACAAGTGCCTAATCTTAAGCATCAATTTTTTTCAGTAGTGTTTTATTCACAATATTTTCACCTTCTACTTATCCCAGAAATTATTTGTCAAATCGGAGTTAAATAGCAGAATAATTATTACAGAAGAACAAATAACTTATACTTAGAATTTTCAAACTTCAGGTTAGTAGTTTTATTTATTCACTAGGGTCTTTCTTACACGTGGCTATCGAATAACGTCTACACGAAACGTGCGTCAATACTCGCAGGGTTTCAAATATGTATTTCAATTATTATTCCCACTTCGAACACCTTTTGCAGAACACAAGGTCTACCTATGTTAAAGAATAGCTTGCGTGCTTTTCTTATTTTAACATTTCACATTATCTATGCTTGGGTTTCAGCGTTTTTCCCGTGTTTTACATTTTCACATTTCCTGCGAAATTATTAGATTCTCTTAAAATCGATTTCAGTTTACCATTTGTCCTTCAATTATGCGATCTTTTCAAAATGTTTTGCTACGTCTTGAACTTAAATGCATTAATGTATCAATATCCTCGAATGTAATAATAGATTAATAATATTCAGCAAAACATATTATAAATTAAATTACGTTGGTTATTAACTGAGGTTGAAATAACTTTCAAATCGTTTATCCCAATTATTGCCTTCTTCTAATTATTATTTACCAGAAAGAAAAGATCTTTGATATAAAAATGCCTTTGTCTTACGTGCTTAAAAAATCGTTAGTTAATTACATTATTAGAGGAAAATAGTTCAGAATAGTAATATTCAGTTGAAAATACAGTCAGAAAAACTGATATGAGAAATTATAAATTGATTAAATATTTCACATCACTTACATAGAAATACAGAAGTATCCGTATCGAAACAATGACAAAATTTTACAAATTCATCTTCAGTTTAGACCACTGCTGAACTATGGAAATATACTAGAAGTAAAAGCAATCGGGAAAACTAAACAATACATGCAGGAAACCAAACAGATTGAAGTAAGAACTTGCTTAATTTGAAAATATTTTACCAATTTATAATCGAATTTTTAAAACATATGTTGAGCCCAAAACATTACGTTAAACCCAATACTTTTGAGAATACTGCTTAAAAGACGAAATATTTTGCGCTTAAGTTTGCTGGTTAAAAAATATTTCCACCATTCGCTTATCTAGATAAATTGATCTATTAGACTCTTGGTATTTATACAGGTAATGTCTAGGTGAACTTGACGCGCAACAAAAAAGTATTATTACAAAAAAATAACTAATCATTTAGAATAGACAAAATTTTAAATATTATTTACTTTTATCGGTATTAAAATTTATAGGTCGTCTTACGATAACATACGCAATAAAATTGACGCAAAACTATTTGACTTTTATTTATGCAACCGCATATTTTTCAGTTTCAGTAATGGAGTTGGGAGTGTATTTTTAAGTAATTGAATGTTTTTTAAATCGAAATTACATGCATGTGTTTTAGTTATTATGCCCTTAGGTTTTACATGTTGCAAAAAATGCAGTTCAATTATTTTACTTGCTACTATGTTTTTAAATAGAAGGGTAGTATTATCGAATACAGTGCTTATACAGGGTTATCCATTTTATGCTTGGGAAAGTAGAGTAAAAAAACACACAAAATATTTAGATGGAAACGAAAATTTTAATTCAAAATAAAAATTAAACCTTGCCATTATACGTGAAAAACAATATCATTTAAATGTCGTCCACGGGACCTCCTACAGGCCTCAATCCTTTTGAGGTAATTTTGAATGACTTTTCGGCACATTACCGGTAATATCTCGGTCATAACGTCAGGAATATAGGCTTTCAGTTGCTCAAGAGTTGGAGTATTGTTGGCGTAAACACGACTTTCGCATAGCCCGACGAAAATAAATCTAACGGTGTTAAGTCGCAGGAACTTGCGGGCCAATTGGCATCCCTCAATCTCGAAATTGCGCGTCCTGGAAATTTCTCTTGCAATAGGCCAGCCAACTAAGCCAGTGTTGTATGACTCGTTGCCCCAACCTGCTGGAACCACATGTCTTCCAGATCATAATCTTCAATTTCTCTCCAAAAATAATCGGTAACCTCCCTGAATCCGCCCTTGGGTCACTTTTTCAGGATGCAAAGGCCTTTCTGCGATCAGCTGAGGATTTTGAGAGCCCCATATACGGCTGGTCTGTTTATTCACGTAACCACCGAGCGAAAAATGAGAAGAAAATTGGGTTCGAAAAATCGTCATCAGCGGCTTGTTGTTAAATCACCCAATTTTCGTATGTTCTGCGTTGCCCATGGTCTTGAGGCTTAAGTTCTTGGGTCAGTAATAATTTTTACGCGTTCTTCGACAGTTAAAAGATCCATGTTCCAAAATGGCAAACCTTCAACTACTCGCCAAACAAAATCTTGAAAACCTGAAGAATTAATTGAATTTCAGACGCTTTTAAACTTGCTGCATAGGTGGATATGTTTCAAAATTTGATCATTTTTAAAGAATTTACGTCCACTAAACCAAAGGCGGCAGAGATTTGAAGTTCCTCGGACTGATTACCAATACTTCGGTACATAAACCCTGAAAACCTCAACAAATACAAAAGTAAGTTTACTTTTCAGAGCTTTGCACACTTGAGAACGCATTGTAGAAATTGTGTTGAAAGGCGTTCGTTTTAAAAAATCGATTTTTACATTTGAACACATATAGATCAATTACAAGTGATTTGACGGGTCGGTGAAATTTTTCTGAATTATACATACGTGGTCCTGCTTGGTCGAAAATACTTCTAAATATATTGATAAGAAAAACCATTCATGCTACACCAGATTCAACGACAAAGACATGCAGTTTCTACAACTTATAGCAGACCCTTCAGTAGATAAATTCGAATAATCTCAAGCAAATAAAAGAGACGGTATACTTTGCAATGGTGTGCAAAATAGGTGTTGCATAGTAGTAAATGCTTTCAAACGTCTTCATTAAAAATAATTTTACTTGTGACTTACTAATCTTGGGGTTAAAAATTAAAACTTGTCCATTTCTCCTCTAAGCAAAGTTACAAATACATTGCAACTGACCCAAAATAGAAATATATTTAAAAAATATAAGGAAACATTAAAGCGCTATAATATTTTCAAACTAAAACCGAGAAAAACAATCTAGAAGACTGCTTCAAATAATTTGAGGCGCAGAAAAAGCGAATAAACGAACACGAAAAAGGGTTCGTGTATACGATGGTACATTTTAAGATTTTTTGTGTAGTTTTTAGCCCATTTTGATGGAAAAGTGAATGACGTCAGTTATCATGCTGCATGTTATTATGCATAAACCTGCATAAACCTGTAGACATAAATGTCTACACCACATCTGAAAAATAAGCTCGTATTCAAGACGGATCTATTTTTTTTAAACTTTATGTATATTTTTAGAAAGCAAAATCCTGATCACCACACGATTAAATTACACAATTACTTCCGACAAACTGTTCGCGATTTAGACTGAACCACTCTGTATAATGGTCTTTAGTTACGATATTATATCAGTATGAAACAGGAATATAATGGGGATAATTGATTAAAG